AAAAACAAAAAAAAAAAGAAAAAGAAGAAAAGGCATGGAGCTAGAGTCTCTGAGACTCTAGCACTGGTTGACGACCAGCAACACTAGCGACCACGAGAGAGAGAGAGAGAGAGAGAGAGAGAGAGAGAGAGAGAGAGAGAGAGAGAAAGGGGGGAAAGAGTCTGGATCTGGTTTCTAGAGGGTTACTACATCGTTCAGTAGCAGCGCCTGCCACTACTACTACTCCGTCTTTTAGGGCTTTTGCATTTTCGGTGAAGAGGAAGAGGAAGAGGAAGTGAAAAAACAACAACTACACGGGCTTTTGGTCTGGATGTTGTACAAGTATGTGTGTAAGTTCTAATTCTTCATCTGTTTATCTCATGGAAAAAAGGGAAAAATGGGCTGATTTAGGTTTAATCTTCTACCACATCTTCTGTGCCTTTGTTTGACATTTTTTCTCTGCTGGTCTGTGTTTTGAAAGCTTGTTTGCCCGTAGTTGATTCTGTTGGAATGAATCAGTTCAAGTAGGTGACAAATTGGTTCGAATTGTTGATGAATCGATTTGAATCAGTGACGAATTGTTGCCTCGCCCGAGTTGTACCAATTTTGGCTGAGACAAAATCAATTTAGGTTCAATTCGGGATTTTTTCGTTGCAGGTGTTATTATCGTATCGGCCATGGCCAAGACGGATACGACTCAGCTGAGTCATATCGGTCTCGGCCGATACCTTAAACCATGGGGACTAGTTACCAGACTAGTGATAATAAGAGACGAGGTCAATTACCAGACTAGTGATAACAATAGATGGGATCAATTACCAGACGAATGGTAACANGTCTCGGCCGATACCTTGAACCATGGGGACTAGTTACCAGACTAGTGATAATAAGAGACGAGGTCAGTTACCAGACTAGTGATAACAATAGATGAGGTCAGTTACCAGACCAATGGTAACAAACATGATTTGACAAATATATTTGAGACCGAATGTGTGTGTGAGTGTTTTGAGTTATAAATGTCTTTTCATTTATAAAGTTATTTGTGAAAATGAGTGGTATTTTGAATTATAAATGTCTTTTTCATTTATAAAGTTATTTGTGATCATGAGATTATTTTGTTTAAATGATTATGTGAGAGAGGTTGAGATACAATTTGTTGTACTTATGTACATATTAATGTTTATTTTTGTATATAAACTGTGGAATTTATTTTCACACCTCATTAGAGGTGATTGTTATTCACGGGTCATTGTGCTCATACAAACATTTAATATTTTTCAAGTGAGGATTAGGGTGATGAGTAAGTTTACAGATAGACAAACAATTAAAAGACTTGAAGATTTATTTTACTGTAGGACTTCATGAATAAATGTCTTTTGTAGTTTTGAAACAAGTATTTAATTATTTTGTGAATAATGTTCCTCATGTTTGAAGTAGTGAACCTTATGGTTTGATTATTATTTTACATGAGTTTTGTAATGATGTTGGTAATATTTAGTTTATTCATCTGGTATTCATTAGGCCGGCAAAATGAATTACTTTATTATTTGTCTTCTACAACATTTTGCATTTATTATACATAGGGTTAGTTGGTTAAGGCCTTGGTGGTCAGCGTCACCCCCCCCCCCCCCC